ACGAGAAATGAAAGCGGGGCTGTTACTCCGACGCGTTTCGAGGCTCCGCGATGAGAGGACAAGTCGTCTTTTCCTGAAAAGCCCCTGCGAGTTCCAAAAGGAACCCAAGTAGAAGGCGCAATGAGGCACATTATTCGGCGTCGCAGTAGATGAGACGGCCACTGTAATGTCACACGTTGTATTGAGGAAAAGAGCACAGTAAGTGCTGCTTTGCATTCAAGACAACCAAATGGGCTACTTTCATCAATTGATCACATTTGAGATCTTAAAAAGACACCTTGCAAACTAGTAGAAGAAGTGCATTTTGGGAGGAATTTCTTGATTTAAGGCGCAATGAGGCACATTATTCGGCGTCGCAGTAGATGAGACGGCCACTGTAATGTCACACGTTGTATTGAGGAAAAGAGCACAGTAAGTGCTGCTTTGCATTCAAGTCAACCAAATGGGCTACTTTCATCAATTCATCACATTTGAGATCTTAAAAAGACACCTTGCAAAACATGTAGTAGTAGAGGAAGCGCATTTTGGGAGGAATTTCTTGATTGAATGTATCTATTTTTTGGGGAAAGGCATGTCCAAACGCAAAATGTTTTGACTTGCGTCGCCGACCTGTCAAATATAATCAGGACGGCAAATTTCCTTTCCACGAGTGACGGATAACAAAGCCGTTGATTTTTTTTTCTTTTTTTTTGTACAGAGCGATTGGGGTCGGTACTACCGAGCACTGATTCACGTCAAACCAAAAGGTACCATGTTGCTGTCCCGAAGTGCGTATTTCTAATTGCGCAGCAGTGAAAGAGTTTGCAATTTTCCAGATTTTCGTTGTTGGCCCCTTCAGTGCACGTGTTGTAGATTTCACGAACACCAAAGCAGCTGGCAGCGATCATCACGAGTGGACCAACCGTAACCGCTGTGAACGTTGACGAGATATCGGCGAGAATCGTGCTAGCTAAATGAAGGTGACGGCTTTTGAGGGCCATCACTCAAAGCAAAAAGCCTCCGCCGCGAGCGGGTGATTAAAGCCAATAGCAAGTTAACAAGCGCGAGTGAGATTGATGGCATAAACAATCGCGCGCCATCGTCGCGGAGTCTTAACGAGAGCTGCAAAAACTTTAATCGTAAGCCATATAACGCTACTTAGGCAGTATAAATAATGAGCCCGCCACGGCATTCAAAGTAAAAGAGCAATAGTTCTCGCGCATATGACATCCACGAAACAGCACTGATCGATTGCCTCGTAATGGAAATTGCACTGAAGTGATGGTAAAATCAATGTTTGTGTTGCTATGACGAAACCTTTTTTTTTTCATTTAAGATTTTTCAGCGACTTTGGCGCAAAATAATTCACATATTTCCTCTGATGGTAATTTAAACTCTAGTCAAAGGACGGGAGTGGAAAAATTGACGATTAATGACCGTATTTTCCGCACGATAAGGCACACCTAAAAGCATTAAATTTTCTCAAAAGCCTTTTATATGGCTCAATATTCTGATTTCTTGGACGTGTTTTAAATGTTCTGTAAAGCGCTTTGTTACGGCTGCAGCGGTTGTGAAAGCGCAACATAAATCAAGCTGGATTGTACTGAATTGTATTCCCTTTAGCGTAGCTTCATTTAGCGAATGCATAACGCAACCGTAGCCACTATTGTGGCTTCTATTCTATGTAGCTTGTCATGCGGTGCGCCCTATATATATATCTTTAAAATAGGCCATTCATTGAAGGCGTGGCTTATACTCAGAAGCGCCTTATCGTGCAGAAAATACGGTAATCTTTTGACGTCAAATCCAAATGTTTTCAGTATACAGTACAGTAAAAAATAAAGGAACGGTGGTTTCGTTGTTCCAATACGTTTGGAGGGGAGCATAGTCATGAAGCAGCAAACTTTTTTATCCTGACAAAGACATTGTTGAAGAAAATATTCATTATATGTCAAAGCTAAAAGCTGCTAATTGGCATACCAAGCCACTGACTTCATCCACTTAACCCCAGTGCCTCAAAAAAAATGAAAGCTTCCCTCGAACAAAGACCATTTATAACGTGCTATATTAGAACAATGAGCGCAAATCGCATGTCCAATAATTCTTCATCCCGAAGCTTTGGTGTCAGACTGAAGCAAAGGGGCCAGCGTGCACTTTTAATTAAACGTATGGCGCAATAAACCGCCTGTGTACAGAGGTGACTGAAACAATTAAAACTCGGAGCAATTAAAAAAGTAGCGCGCCCAACATTCATCTCTTCAGTCCGCCGATTCCACAGTTTCCCTCTTCCTCGATGACCGGATGGTCATACATCACCCGTGACTGTTTAATTATAAGAAGGCCATTTCAGCCGTGCTTGGCTGAGAATAGTCTCTCGGCCCGACATTCTGAGTACGCTCAGAAGTAAAACACGACCGCGGGCTGATGGCCAGCTGGAGCGAATGAGCCGGGATGATTTCAAAACGTCGATGTTGCTTTTGTTCAGGGCTGGGTAACGGAAAGCTCGTTTGTCCGAGAGTAAAGGTTGCACCGGTGCACCTTTGGGATGGAGGCCGGTCTTTGCTTGCCCTGATCAAAGTGCAGATATAACTTGGTTGCGGAGTTGTACGGACTGCTTGTGGATATGATTAATCCCACGAATTGCATTACGCGTTCTTCTGCGCTCTCTGTCCATGCGTGAAATGACTCAAATTTTATAAATCATCTCCTCCATTTACAAAGAAATGAAATGAGGTATCGAATGCAAACCTGTCAATTATGCAACGTCACTGCGGTGCTCTGCACATCCTTCAAATTACGACAGCGGTTCAGACAAAAAGAAATACATGCTGAACAAATTGACAACTGATGATTGCTCAGAAATGTGAACTGGCATGCTGGGTTTCACAAGAAAAAAAGATATATTCCCAGAGACATGCTTCTAAATCTTGTAGAAAGTCTTCCCTGAAGAGTGGAAAATTGCAAAGCTTCAAAAGGAGGAGAACCGGCTTCATATTTTCTTCCATTTCTACACCCCGGACAGAACATCAACCCGACCAGGGGAGCGATGTTCCGCCAAGGGCCGTGCTAAATGTCGAAGCAAACTGGATTCAGATTTTGTCATCGTTATTATTCTTAAGTCAAAGAAATCACCACTCCTAAGACTTTCTTCTACCTCATTTCTGGAGGCATGTTCATCCTCGTGGCACCAAGAAGGGAACGTGGGACATTGAAAAAATTGCATCCCAGGGACTATTTTAAAAGTCCATTTTGCGAAACCAGTTTCCTTGAAATTCCCTGTCTTTGATTTGAAATTAAAGTGGTTCTGTTTACGTGACAAAGAAAATGCTCTGGCAACGGAGCGGAACATTTCATGCAGCAGCGTGTTCAATTTCTGGCCAGTACAGCCGGTGTGGCTGATAAAATATGGCTGGGTTGTGATAGGAAGGGGACCTGGCATAAATATTGTCCCAAACAAATTGCGTGCGACTCGCTATGGCGACCCTCGAATGAAACGAGCCAAAGGTGACAAAAACATGACACAGACATTTGGTAATGACTATCAGGAAAGACGCTGTACGATGTTAGCTTGTTAGCTGCCACAGTCCAACAGAAGGAATATTTGCATCAAACTCTCCATGACGCTGTGAACGCAGAACTGCGTTGATTTTCTGGAAAGTTGGCTCAGCAGAGAAAGCTTATCGACTATCCTGAACCCCAACAATCTTACAAATCAGCTTTACAGGTGTGCCAGGAATGAAGGAACTGAGGAAATAAAAAGGAGTAATTCAAAGTCCTGGACCTCTAGAAGGAATCTTTCAGGAGGGGAAGCCTGTTCCAGAGTGAGAGAATTCCATCGCAGGAACGGGGGCTGAAAGCCATTGAAGAATCAGACAAAGGGAGTCGGAATGCTAAAGTGTGGCTGTTTGGCCTCGCAGCCCCAAGGTGTCCTCTGGCTATTCGAGTGAACATCATTATGTCTGCTACTGTCACTTCAGGGCCAGGCTGCAAGGTGAGGACTCTATTCTTCTTGACGCAGTCAACTGCCAGTCAAGCAATCTTTCTCCCAAACTCTCTCCCTTCACTCCCACCTTCCTCCTGTTTCCTCAATCACACTTGGTCCCGCCCCGACTTGTCACGCTTACAAAGCCAGCCGGAACAAGTGACAACATAGCGTGCCGTCAGGTAGCAGGTTGTGACAATTTGATTTTGTGCTTGAGCTGTGACCGAAAAGGGCGGTGCCACGACAGTTGATCAGGACAATCAATGATTTAATGGTTGAGTAAAATCCGAACGCCGCCGTCATATTTCAAAATGAAATGATTTGATATGATGTATTTTTTTTTAGACAGTCCAGGCCACAGGAAGCTTAATTTCTTAGTTGTCTTTGTCTTACTATGAGTAGTAGTGCGAGTAGCATCATTATCATGATTATTATTATAATTATCATCATTTTCCTGAAATGTGACAAGGGGTCTGAAAATACTGTTTGGCTTTAATCTTGATGAGGAAGCACAATTGGTTTTTTAAGACTTGGGGCCCCTAGTTGTCATGTCATCGCTTTGCCACAAACCTCGGTGGAGACTTGCGGAAAGAATGGTGGTTCATTTGAATGAGACAGAACCATCCCCTCAAAAACGATGAAAAAAATTAATAATTGAGGTATTTGGAACTCTGGGGGGGGCACACATGATTGTCCTCTGAATTAAAAAAAAAAAAAAAAACATTCAAAATATAAAAGTGCACCACAGGCAGTGAATAATGGTGAAGTCAAATCCATCATTCCAGAATTCAGTTTTTGCACCAAAAACTACAGAACCCCCAAAATTCTTACGTCATTTCACGTACAATTTTTTTCCAAAACTTTAATCACTCGAATATCCAGACAAGAACATTTTCCATCATCGTAAAACCAGATAGTATTGACTAAGATTATCTTTCTCTTAATTCAATTGTGTGTGTTGCTTCATGGTAATTCCTTTCAACGTGAGAAAAAAAAAAAAAAAACAGTCGCAGTAATAACTCCTACTCATGCTACTTACCATAACCGAGATGTGCAGCAGATGCATGTGTTCGTGCGTGATGTGCACCGGCTCCCGCGCGGAGGCCTGCGTGGTCTGGGCCACCGCCTCCGACTCCGTCATGGACACGTGGAAGTAAAGCGTCCCGTTCTCCAGCCACTGCTGCTTCCAGTGCACCTGGGAGATGTCTTCCCCCCTCCCGGACATCTCTGCAAGGCGAGAGAGTACATAAGAAAAAAAACAAAAGTGAGGCGTTGAGAAACTGACATTTAGAGGTGCCCGAGGGTAGTCTTGTGATGTGACGTGGGCTTTCCTCACGCTACCTTCCAACTCGAAAACATCATCGCGTCAGCAGATGAAGCTTTGAATAAGCTGATTTGAACTGTCAGAACGCTGGATGAGGAGGAATTATCGCCCGACGTCGCCACGCGCGAAATCTACACGGTGAAATAGACGCCGTAGTCGGTTTTAGTCGGAGATTTGTCTATGTTTCAGTAAATCAAAAAGTGGCTCAAGCATTTCGCATTTCTCTTCATATCGCATCAGATGTTGTTGTCGTCGGTTAGAAGAATATCCCCTCATGGGAAGACAATGGCCATATCAAGCGCAATTAATTGGCTGTCTGCGGCAGTTGCAGGCATGTCATCTCTGCGGCGGTGTCGCGGCCTTATCCGCATTAATCACTGTGCAATTGAAGTCGGGATAAAAAAAAAATGCATTCGCTTCGGGCCTGCGTCTGCCGATTACGCACGCGCCAACAAAGGACTAGAACCTTTCGGAGGCGATTGTTGAAATCAAGACACACTTGTAAACGTCACTGTCAAAAGCAGTCGCGTGTCGCAATTTAGGCCTGGTCTGTTTTGACACTGATCAGGAAAAGACATGTCCACGAAAAAGAAAGAAAGAAAGAAATCTGATAGTGATATGAGGGCATTCTGACAAAGCTTTCACCAAAACGTTGACTTTGCGGGTGTTGAAACTTGAATTTGGGCTTGGTTAGGACTGAAAGATGACACACAGTGAGCTCTGCTACTGAACCTTGACATTTTGACCTGCGGAATTCATGATGCCAGATCATGAATAAAGTCGCTGTATCCCAGATCTCAGACCCGCATCCAAAATCCACGTTTGCGAACCATTTACCATTTAACCAATGATGCCCAAATCAGCTAGAATG